GGCGCTTATGGGTCTTGATGAGACCGCGTATTGCGAATACCACCAGAGGGTCGGCCACCTCACCGACAATTGCAAACAACTGAGGATGGCCATCGACGAACTGGTCCGACAAGGCTACCTGGGCGAGTTCACCCAGCTGCTGAAGAAGAATAGCCCGAGGCAGCCGAATCTGAGGTCACGGTCATGGCGCCGCGACGATCGGCACGAGGCTGAACCAAAGGACGTAGATTATCGAAGTGCTGATAAACGCCCGGAGGGGTCCCTCAGCCCGAACGGCGGGAAGAAGAAGTTGGAGATCAAGGTGATCTTCGGGGGTGCTGAGACCGGGGACACGCCTGCTGAGCGGAAGAAGTTCGAGAGGTCCCTCTATGTGGGCTCCATATCAGCTCCCCCCACTAAAAGGAACAAAATGGAGGCCATCACCTTTGGACCAGCCGACCTACCAATGTCACCGGCCCCACACAGGGATGAGTTGGTGATCAGCATGGATATCAACAATGCGATCGTCCGACGCGTCCTTGTTGCCACTGGGAGCAGCGTGAACGTCCTCTACTGGGAGGCGTTCGAAGGGATGAAGCTGAGGAAGGATCAGTTGGCCCCCCTTGCGCACCCTTCTTTCTGGCTTCACAGGGGACTGCATCGACGCGGAGGGCACCATCGGCCTCCCCGTTGAGATCGGGGATGGACCTCACACCACCCGCATCCGGATGACGTTCGTCGTGGTCCACCTGAAGTGTGCTCACAACGCCATTTTGGGACGGCCCAGCTTGGAAGATCTGGAGGCCATATGCTCTGTACGGCATTCATGCATCAAATTCCCCACTGACACCGGGGTGGGAGTGGCCCGTACGGATCCGCATATGGCCAGGGCTTGCTACACCAAGGCCATGGAAAGGTTCAACAAGCGGGAGGCCCGGGTTAACAACATTATTGAAAAGGCCAGACAAGCCGAGTTTGACGCTCGTCTTGAACCAGCTGCCCTGCTCGAAGAAGTGGAGCTGGATGACCCGTCGGACAGGAAGGTATCCATAGGCGCCGACCTTGAGCCTGAGATCTAGGAGGGGGTCATAGCCGTCCTCCGGAAATTCAAGATCCTATTCGCCAGGGGGCCGGAGGACATGCCAGGCATTGATCCCAACCTCATATGTCACAGACTCGCCGTGCGGCCAAACGCCAAGCCCGTTCAACAAAAGAAGAGATACATGGCGGCTGACCGGCGAGACTTCATCAAAAAGGAGGCTACTACGCTCCTCAGCATCAGGCACATCCGGCCGGTCATCCACGTGGAGTGGTTGGCTAATGTGGTATTAGCCCCAAAAGGCGACACATGGCGGATGTGCGTCGATTATTCGGACCTCAACAAAGCCTGTCCGATGGACCCATATCCGGTGCCGAGAATCGACTTGCTCGTAGACGAGACGGCGGGCTGCGAATTGCTCAGCTTCATGGATGCATTCAGAGAGTACCATCAGGTGTTCATGCACCCGGATGACGCAGAGAAAACGGCGTTCGTCACGGCGGACGACGTGTACTGTTACGTGGTCATGCCGTTCGGCCTGAGGAACGCCATGGCTACTTTCCAGAGGATGATCGGGATGTTGTTCAAAGACGTACTGGGCAAAACCATGGAGGCTTACGTGGATGACATCCTGATCAAGAGCAAGAAGAAGGAGGACCACGTACGAGACATGGAGAAGATCTTCACCATCATGGAAGGGGCTAGCATGAGACTCAATCCGAAGAAATGTGCCTTTGCCGTCAAGGGTGGCAAGTTCCTCGGTTACATGATGAGCGAACGGGGGATCGAGCCTAACCCAGAGAAGGTAAAGACAATAGTTGATATGGAGGCCCCAAAAAATCTGAAGGACGTACAGCGGCTCACCGGACGACTAGAAGCCCTGAGCCGATTCATGTCAAAACTAGCAGACAAGGCGATCCCTTTCTTTCAGATCATGAAAAAGGCGAATCCCTTTGAGTGGACACCGGACTACCAGGCTGCCTTTGAGGATTTCAAGGTATACCTCTCCTCTCCGCTCGTCCTCACCAAGGCGGACCCGGGGGAGCAATTATACATGTATCTGGCGGTAGCGGACCTGGACGTGAGTGCTGTACTACTCAAGGAGGCGGAGGGCATTCAGCGACCAATCTATTTTGTGAGCAAGGCGCTGAACGGCCCAGAAACCAGATGCACACTGATGGAGAAGACGGTCCTCGCCTTGATAGCATCCATCAAACGCCTGGCACCGTACTTCCAAGCGCACCCAGTCACAGTATACACAACACAACCTCTCGCCACAATCCTCAGAAACCCCATGGCCAGCGGGAGGATAACCAAATGGTCCCTGATGATCGGACAGTACAACATAGAGTTCAAGCCGAGGCCGACGATCAAGGGGCAGGCGCTGGCAGATTTCATTGCCGAATGTACTGCGCACACCGAGGATGATCCCCAAGGCGACAACGATTTCAACAACTGGTGGGAGATGTACACCGATGGGGCCTCGAGTGCGCGGGGCTGTGGCGGAGGAGCAGTGATCACTTCACCTGAGGGTTTCAAGGCCTATTACTCCATGAAGTTCGATTTCAAAGTCACCAACAACGAGGCTGAGTACGAGGCACTGATAGCAGGACTGAAATGTGCGAAGGCACTCGGCGCAGCTCGTCTGAAGGTGAGGATGGACAGCCAGCTGGTGGTAACCCAGATGAATGGGACGGCGGAAACCAGAGAGGAAAGGATGAAGGTCTACAAGGAACTCGCGGAGGAACAAACCGCGCAGTTCGAACAAGTGATAATCGAGCAGGTATCGCGGGTGGAGAACGCCGAGGCTGACATATTATCCAAGCTAGGCAATCCCCCAACCGATGACCCCGCGACGGACATCCCCCGGCACATTAGGGGCTTCGTCAGACAAGAGACACTCCCAGCACCGGCGACGGACGTCATCCAAGTAGAAGCCATCTCCGTCGCCGAACCTAATTGGTCGAAGGAAATCGCCGACTACCTCAGGGATGGGACGCTCCCCGAGCCTGGAGATGATGGCAGCTCCGGGAGAGCAGCTTGGATAAAGAGACGTGCCCCCAATTTTGAACTCATTGACGGGCAACTTTACAAAAAGACGTTCGGCGGACCATACTTGAGATGCCTCCCACCGAGCTTGGCAGCGGCCGTTATTGAAGAGATACATGAAGGCATTTGCTCCAGCCACCAGGGTCCTCGTACCTTGGCCCGGAAAATCATCCTGCAGGGATACTACTGGCCTACCATCCAGCAGGATTGCTTCAGTCATACTCGGAAATGTGCAGTGTGCCAGCAGTATGCTCCTGTCCCCGGACGGCCGGCAAGTTTCTACACTCCAATGACGGTTGCATTACCTTTTGCCAGGTGGGGCGTAGACCTGCTGGGCCCTCTCCCGACGACGACCGGCGGAAGGAAGTTTGTCATCGTGGCGATTGACTACTTCACGAAGTGGGTAGAAGCCGAGCCGCTTGCCTCCATCACTGAGTATCAATGTCAGAGGTTCCTCTGGCAGAATGTCATATGCCGCTTCGGGATTCCAGAGCAGGTCGTCACCGACAACGGCCGGCAGTTCGTCGGCAGAGGATTTGAGGCATACTTTGCGAAGTGGGGCATCAGGCACTCTAAGGCCTCGGTGGCCTACCCGCAGGCCAACGGCCAGGTGGAGAACATGAACCGGACCATCATGGATGGGATCAAAAAGAAACTAGAAGATTACGCGTCCACCTGGCCGGAGCAGCTTAATTACGTACTCTGGACGTACAGGACGACCCCAAGGACGGCAACCGGCGAAAAACCTTTTGCCTTAGCGTACGGATTCCAGGCCAAGGTGCCAACGGAGGTGCTAGTGCCCACACATCGCACAAAACGTTTCCAGCCGGAGGATAACGAGGCCAACCTACGAGCGGAGCTCCATTTCATCGAGGAACGAAGGGACCTAGCAGCTCGTCGCATGGAGGAATATCACCGGGCCACCCAAAGATACTTCAACAAGGCGGTGAAGATCCGCGAAATTGAAGCTGGGGACCTCGTACTCAGAAAGAGGGAGAAGAGCAAGCCGCTCGAAGGTGGCAAGATGGCCAAGAATTGGGAAGGGCCGTACAGGGTCATGAGAAGATACAACCAGGGGACGTTCCTCCTCCACACCCTGGAGGGGAACCACGCTGGAATCTGGAACGTCGAACACTTGAAGAAATTCTACCAGTAGTTAGAGATAGATTGTTTTTGTCATATTTGGTCGAAGCACCATGAAACACTACCAATCGTCCTCTCTATATTAAAAGGATTACTTCCTGTCTTTCGCTTCCTACAGAGAGATTAAATCCGAAGTGCTATTGAAACGATTTCCTCCTCAAAAAAAAAAAGAGAGGAGAAGGGGAGATACGATTCCTATGAGAGAGGGAGTCTTGACGAGGTATGCCAGATCTTCCTTCGCCGCGTATGACGAACGTCTCCTGACACGGAGACCAGTAGGAACGTGAGGGGGGCTAGACGAACCAAAGGGAACCTCGGCAGGATAAACCAGTTCCTCCCATTTCCCGTGGATCGACGAACACCTTCTGCAAGAGCAGAAGGTTAGTAGGGCCACGAGCATGGGACGACGAAGCAGGGAGCCCGCGATAGGGTAAACCAGTGACCTCCTTGCGATCGGTGAATACCGAACGTCTTCTTCGAAGTAAGAAGGTTAGTAGGGTCCCGACAAGGACGAACGAAGAAATGGGAACCCTGACAGGGTATACTGGTTCCTCCCCCTTGATGAACGGATGACGAACGTCTTCTGCGAATCCAGGAGACTAGTAACTCACGATTGGGGACGAACAAAGATGGGGAATCCCGACGTGGATATACCTGTTTCTTCTCAGAGTGGGGATGGCGAACGTCTCCTGCGAAACCAGGAGACCAGTAATCACGAAACATGGGAAGAACAAAGATTGACAAAAGACTCCAAAAAAAAAAGGAAGCAAGGTATGCTAGACGAACATGGAGCAAACAATAATTTTTATTCTTCGGCACTGATGACCGGAAAGTTACAATGTGTAAGGTACAATGTAAATAATGAAAAAATTGGTACAAGTACAAAACAATGAACGGAGAATCAATGCTGATCGACGTCCGGAGTGGGAGCCTTGAAAAGAGTCTGTTTGGCCTTGTCTCTAGCTTCGGCTTCCTCCTGCTCCCTACGCTCCTTCAGCAGCTCAAGGGCCCCTGCATGAGCGTCCGCCATCAGAAAGTCAAAACCGGCGGCCTCCGGATCGAAGGGTGCCCCGAAGTGACGCTCGAGCGTCGGGAGATTCTCTGCTACTAGCCCAACCATGCCCTTGCGGTAGGTATCGTCGGCGAGATCATCAAGGAAACGCCGTCCGGTGGGGGTGGCTTGGAGCAGCTTAACCCCATCCAGATAGGGGTCAGGGCAGGTGGCCAAAAACTCACCGACGAGCCTCGGGAGGAACCTCATGGCCATGGTATGGATGGCGCCAGTATAAGCTTTGGACTTCTGAAACTCAATAGAGCCAGACTCCTTGATCTTGGCAACATCGGCCTCATAAATGGGGACATGATTGTCCACGCCCGTACGGCGGAGTTCCACCTTGGCCTGCTCTACGGCCCACATCCGGCTGCGGGGGTCCACAAGCTCAGCCTCCTGTTTCTTGAGGAGCTCCTTCTGGGAAGCATTCTCCTGGACGAGCTTGTCATAGGCATCGGCCTTCTCTTGGAGAGTTCCAGCCCTGCCTTTGGCATTCCTCAGAAGGGCATCACATTCAACCCGTACTCTGGCCATCTCCCTACCCTGATGCTCGAAAGCCATCCGAGCCCTGTGGAAGTAGAGCCCGGCCTTATCCAGAGTGCTCTGGCCGCACTCCAAGAGTTCTTCAGGGGCCTCCTGAGCGGCGAAGTCCTGGGGAACCTTGAGATTCAGGCCACACCAGATGGAGGACGCTGTCTGGCCAAAAAGCATCATCGACTCCTTGCGGGGACCAACCCCGGAAAACTCAATCAGGCCAAGGGAGGACCCACTGGTTTCTGGGAGCGAAGTAGGACGAGCGTCGTCAGAACCCTTGGCAGTCTGGACATCCTCATCACGGAGGCGACGAACGTCAGAATTCCGCGGGGGAGAAATATGGGGCTTGTTCCGGGAGGTGGGTTTCCGCTTGATGGGACTCCCGGGCTCACCATCAGAGTCATCGGCCACTATGATGGCCTTGGATGCAGTACCCTCGACACGAGGCCTCTTGGAAGCACCGGCCCCAGAAGTGTCATTAGCCCGTGCTCTGGTCATCCGGGTTTCGACCTTGGGGACGAGCGGCTTCTCCAGCTTGCCATGGTCTTTGGGCTCACGGCCGGCGGCAGTCGAGGCATTGTTGGTGCGGCCCATGGTGGACGTAGATGGGAAAACTCCTGCACAAAAGGAACCAAGACGTTCAGAGCCATAGCAACGGAGAGAGGTTAAAACAATACAAGTACAAACAGACGCACCTAACCCAGCCCGAGCTTTAAAAGGCTCGGCCACCAGCAACCGGAGGTTCTGGATGCCGAGTCCAGCTATGCGCTTGGCATACCCGAGCTCCTCGTCCGTCATAGGCGGCGGAATCGTCTTCACCGGGTAGGCATTCCACCGGTCAGAGAATGTAACACCCCCATTTTTCCCACCAAAATAAAATAACATTTTGAAATGAAAACATCTTTATTATAAAACATATTTAGAGTACAGCGGAAGTCTTTAATGGAAAAACAGGTGTGTCACCGCCACACTCAACCTATACATGATTGAGTGCACAGGCTATCCACCATAAAGTCAAGTAGCCATCGGATAAAACTTAAAACAAGTTTATGGATTACAATTTTAAACAACAATAATTAATCAAACGTGTGCAACTAGCGGAACACTCGGGCACCAAGTACATCAATCTTCATAATCATAATCATCTGTACAATAGAGCAAAGAGAAAAAGAGAAAAGAGACAAAAATTAGCTTTAGAGCTAAGTAAGATTCCACCCGAACCCGTAAAATAATATAATTTGGAAAATAGGTTTTTGTATATATATATATATCGAAAAGTAGTCTCTCATATTTCCAAAATGGTTTAATGTCATAAAATAGTTTCCACAATAGATAAGATCATCTTTCAATTCCTCCAAAAGTAATACTTTAGATTCTTTTAAGAGTGGGCGAAACTCAAGATTCCTCGAGCCCAATGAGTCGTTGTTATCTACGACTCATCCCGGAATTCCGGCTCCCACCGACCACCAATTGGAAGCTGAATTTCTACCTTAAGTGTGCACACCCTCTAAAAGGGATTCCAAGCCCTCCGAGTAGTAAGAAACCCAAGTAGGCAGGATGTTTTCTACCACCTACTCACAAGGGACATTGTCCAAGGGTAAATTAGGTAACTACTACTACGACCACCAAAGGATCTTTGATCCTCAAATAAAAGCCCGGGATGTCTACCGGAGTATGTCATTGCCGGACTGGTTACCGACCCAAATAAATTTCACCAAAAGTAGTAGTAGCCCTAACCACCCACGCCTCGTGTTTCTCTCGAGACGTAAGAATATATATTATGAAAACTTTAAGTTTTCCCCAAATCATTCTTGTCACATTTTCTCAAAATATCCTTTGTAATATATATAAATCCACCAATATTCTTTAATAAAAAGAATATACATTTAATCATCCATAAAAGGTAATAATCCACCAATATTCATATAGTCAAAATATTCGATCCATGTCAAACATATAATTTCCAATTCATAAATAATTCACATAGTGCAAATATTGCATACATATAAGTACGAGGCAAAACATTTTGGTTGACATAGAACTTACCTTAAATTGCGATAATCTCCTTAATAAAATCTCTAGCTTGATCTTCACTTGAATTCTCCTTCTAATATTGATCAAAATTCTAAATCAATAACTATTCTATTATTTCGTTATTTCTTTTATATCCAACCTTTAATTACTTTAACTTCATAATTCCTTCTTTAAATATAAATATTAAATTAATAAATCTTACTAACTGTTTATTTCCAGTTCATTCTTATTATTTTCTTTAATTATAATAACCCAACTCAGTTTTTCTTAATTTGTTTGGTTAAATAGTTAACTAGTCCAATTATATTACTACATAATAATTTCATTATTTCGAATTTAGATAATCAATTTCAGTTCAAAATTCAGTTTACATAATTTATATAATTTATTTAATAACCCTTTTAATAATAACTTGACTTAGGCAATAATTCGAAATAATAATCATTAATGATAATCTAATCTCAATAACAACTTTAATTAGTTCAATCGTTTATTTATACTAACTAACCCAATTAAATTAATTTATCCAATCCTCCAGTTTTATTTATTTGACTCACTAATTTAATTGAACTAACTAAATCAAATAAATAAGTTTAATTATATCAATATAGCTAAATACGTTAATCTAATTCAATTAAGTCCAATAATCAAATTCTAATCTCGTTTTAATTTTCTGTTTCTAATATAAAGTCCAGAGATGTTATCAAGTCTATAAATTAACTAATTTATCCATTAAACTAATTGATCTAGTTAAACTAGTCCAATGAAGTCAATTAACTAACTTATTAAGTACACATTACTTAATTAATTTGTTTATATTCATCAACTAATTTTTATGAGTTCAAATAGTTTAATAATTTATATGGAGTCCAAATCACTAATAATCAAGGATAATAATTATTAATTTAATCACGCTAATTTAATTAGTCAACTAATTCAATAATTTATTTATTAAGTCCAAATATAGTCATTCATTTATACTAGATAACCCAACTTTATTTTCTTTTCCTTATTTTATTACAAACATCATTTTTAGTCCAGAACATTATTTTCAATCTTAGTGATTTATTTATTTCACCATTAATATCAAAATTTCCTTATTTAATTACTTAACTAGTTTATATGGCTCAATTAAATTAAATAACTTAATCATCACTTTTATAAATTACTAATCATCCATAACTATAGTTTGGGTCTATACTAGACCTAGGTTGTCCAGATATTTATTTTAGAATTATTTCCTTTATTTATTCACTTAATTTCATATATCTATTAACCGGTTTAATTACAATTAAATATGCTAATTATAATTTTTATTAATTATAAATGGTCCCAAATGTCCTATTTAGTCATATATTTAATCTAGCTTGCACCCATATTTATTTCATAATTATTTTCGTCATTTACTACAAATATTATTTTTCAATTATTCTTGGTCCGAATATGTATTTTTATACCAGGTATTTAATTTATATTTTTCCAGATTTTATTTATTTCATTTACTATTTTATTTTTAATTTTTTATTAAAAATGGGCCGAACCGGCCCAAATTCGCGACCCGGCCCAAGAAGACTGGGTTGTCTCCTTCCCAGCTTCTCCAGGTCGCGATTCCGGCGACCGGAATCCCGAAAACTTCGGCGAGCGATAACTTTACTTACAGGTAACGGATTTAAACGATTCAAGTTGCAAAATGATCCTGACGTCGAGGAGAAGCTCCGCCACCCCTATCTACGGCCAAATTTCCGCACTTGCTGAAGACCCATTTCCTTGGCTTGCAACTCCGGCGACCTCTAGGATGCTCCGGTGACTACGAATTGGTCTGGAATTTATTGGGAAATATTCCTAGACCTCTCACGACCCTCCTCTCTTGTTTATAGGCAATTTCTTACGTAAATTTATATATGTGTATTTTTCCGGCGAGTAAGTATATATATATATTCTCTACTCGTTTTCTTCACTTTGTGGTGATTTAGAATGGGAAGGAAGCTGTATTTATAGCTGTAGATCGATCATTCTAGGCTGAATCATACATGGAGTGATTGGTTTGAATTATTTCTTCATTATTATTCAATATTATTATACATAGTATTATGAACATGCATGTGTAAATGTTGGTTGTTCTAATGCATTCTAAGTCTAGTCGGCAAGTTCATTGCATATATTATTACCTCTATTTGTATTATTGTGAACACCTATGTGTATGATTGTCATCCACAAGTTACATTTTATGTGTATATGTATATTATTACATGTTACAAAATGTCACTTATAATACTTTGATATTTATTTTTATTTACCTTGTCAGATATATTTTATCTGATTTATTTTTATTTTTATTTATTTTATTTTATTTTTTTCCGATGCCACATAAGTGTTTAATTTTCATTGCATGTAGTGTGCGTATATTTTTATACACCAAGTATAAAAAAAATATTTTGATCTTACTTTCATTTGATTTATCAGATATAACTTATCTGATTTATTTATTTATTTTTATTTCAAATTTTCAAGGTATCACATTCTACCCTCCTTAAAGAATGCTTCGTCCTCGAAGCATAAACTAGGACGCGAATTAAGTATGAAGATGAATTATTATAGGTTTATAAGATATGACAACCTGCCCCCCTAAAAGAAAGGTTACGTCCTCGTAACCGAATATTTACCTTAATTGAAAAGTTCAGGATACCGTTTACGCATATCCTCTTCTGTCTCCCATGTTGCATTCTCGGTCAAATGGTTTGACCAAAGTACTTTTACCATCTTAACTGTCTTCTTCCTTGTCTCTCGGGTCTTAGTATCGAGAATCTCTATGGGTTTTTCTTCGTAGGATAATGTCTCATCCATTTCAATCACCTAATAATATAACGGTTAACTTATATTCTTTTCAATTTACGTTTGGCTCATGTTAAGTCTAGGATTTCTTACCTCCGGATTGATGATATGTGACTCATCTCGAACATACTTCTTTAATTGTGATACGTGAAAGACGTTATGTACCTAGCATATATCGGTATGTTAAGAATGTATTTTAATCGTAGAGAAGTATTTGATTTCAAATCGGTTGTTACCTTATCCAACTCCGTGGGTAGAGCTAATCGATATGCCACTTTTCCCACCTTCTCTAGGATGTCATAGGGTCCGATGAATCTCGGACTTAGTTTCCCTTTCTTCCCGAACCTCATTACGCCTCTTGTAGGAGAGACTTTGAGTAGAACTTTCTCCCCTAGTTCGAATTCAGCTGGTTTTCTCCCAAGATCGGCATATGATTTCTGTCGGTCTTGGGCAGCCTTCATCCTTTCTTGGATGACCTTGATTTTCTCAATAGTATCTTGCAAGTATTGTGGTCCTAGAACCACCTGATCGACCATGTCACCCCAACATAAGGGACTCCTACACTTTTGACCATATAGAGCTTCGTATGGGGCCATTCCGATGCTAGCATGGTAACTGTTATTGTACGAAAACTCTACCAAGTCTAGGTGTTCATCCCATGATCCTTGCAAATCAAGAACACATGCCCTCAACATGTCTTCTAATGTTTGGATTGTTCTTTCGGTCTGTCCGTCCGTGGTTGGATGGAAAGCAGTACTTAACTTCAATTTTGTTCCCATAGCCGTTTGTAATTCTTTCCAAAATTGGGATAAGAATCGTGAATCTCGGTCTGATACGATGTCTTGAGGTACTCCGTGGTGTTTGACCACGTGTTTGACATAGGCTTTTGCCAGTTTCTCCATGCTCCAGGTTTCATTCATAGGAATGAACCTTGCAGTTTTGGTCAATCTATCCACTACCACCCAAATTTTATCTTTCCCGGACTTTGTTAAAGGTAAACCCCCGACAAAGTCCATTGAGATTGAATCCCATTTCCATGTTGGTACTTCCAAGGGTTGCACGAGTCCCTTGGGTTTGCATCTTTCCGCTTTGACTTTTTGGCAGTTCAAACATCGGGATACAAATTCAGCTACTTCTTTCTTCATTCCCGGCCACCAAAAGTTCTTCTTGAGGTCTTTGTATAGTTTGTCTCCCCCGGGATGTACCGAGTAGGGCGTGTTGTGTCCCTCCTCCATGATTTGTTTTTTAATATCTGCACACTTCAGTGGAACACACCATC